TTATTTATCCTTACAATGGCGTGTATGAAAAATTGATGTTAAAATTATTAGCAATAATGGATTTGTTTCTTATTGTGTTATGGAAAGTCAAGAATTTACCAAATAGGGAGAGTTTCTCATCGCCCAAGTTTCAATTGGACAGAAACTTGGAATCATGCAACTTGGTTGCATGATGAATGAGAAATTTCATATTTGATAATTAGACTAATTCGTTGACAAAGTGTCAAGTGAAGGACTAGGAGATCGAGTACACAAAGTTGTGTGTTGATCAAGTTCACCATAAGAGTAACAAAGATATTCGTCATCATTTACTAAAGGTTTAGTAAATATGATTATACTTACAAGATTAAGTGTAATTTTGAATTGATTAAAGGGTTTAGATCAATAGCAAAACGAATAAGAAGAATCAAATAGGCAGAAAGATAAGAGTTTCTCCATTCTAAGAAGAAGGGAGAGTGGCTTTTATGCTTTATGATAGGTCTTAATGATTAAGAACCATATCTCAATTGATCCTCTAAGTGAGTCTTGGTACAATTGTATGTCCAAGAAGAGGAATCAAAGATTGATGAAATGGTCAAATCAAGAAGACAATCATACTTTGTTCCAATAACAAGTCTTAAAGTTAAGATTGTGACAATGAGTAAAAAGTATTAAAGGTTTATAACATTCATCAAATGTGGAAAGTTGTGATGTCTTGGATAAGACAAAGACCAACTATGACCAATTTATGAAGTGTTTTGATACAAGCTACACTAACTCTTGAAAATTTGTTTGTCAAGAAATGTTTATTGACAAAAGAATCTTATATGTCAAGGAGTCAGTGGGAGTCTTAATGGTCTCGAAAAGTTTCAAGAACAAATCAAATAAACCTTATCGATCATCACTAGCACACGAGTTGAGGTTTACAACCTATCGTAAAGACATTATTTTGTTTCTGTGCCAATCCAATCGAGTTAATTATGCATGTGAGTCCTATGAGTTCTCATTTGAATGCGTAAAAGGCAAGGACCTTGATCAATGAAAGGTACATTGATAGGAAAAAGGTAAGATGCTTAACTACTTGGAAGACGTGGTGGGCAGCTGTGCTACCATAAGGCAAGAAATCAAGATTAAGAAAGTTCGATCCATATGAGTTTGAATTTGTCGTAAACTTTGGTTTTAACAAATTCGCATGGATAGGAACACATACACCGTTTAAATCTAAGTGTCATAAGATTTCCTCCTTCATGAAAATGATTGTGAGAAAATGCTTTCACTAAGAAAGATTTTAAAAGATAGTGATTGTAAAATTGCATTCTCAAATTCGATCATGGTTACGGCATCCCTTTCCATAATTTGAATTGTGAGGTTTGGCAATTAGTCTTAATTGTTAAGACACACATATGAACTATCTAAGGCAAAAGTGTATAAGTTCAAGAAGCCTTGATAAAAGATTATCAAAGCACTAAGTATTAGAAACATGAACTTAAGAAATTCAATAAGTATTGTTTTTCTGAAAGTTAAGATGTTTATGAATACATGTCGAAGCTAGTGGGAGCATAAGTGTTATGTTTTATAATAATCATCATGATAGTGGGAGCATAAATGTTATGATTGTATGATTATTAAGGCACGTATTGCATAGTTGGCAATATTAATTATAGAAAACAAGAGTCATACTTTGCAAAGTTGTAAGAGTTGAAAGGTTGTTTTGCTATAATTAAGGGAGAGAATATTATGCTTCATTTCAAATCTAAAGGATTAGGTTGTGGAATGTTAATAAATTTAGTCAAAGGTACATAGTGTGTTCTTAAAATTTCGATTGTGATTACGGCATTCCTCTTCGCAATTCGAGTTTTGAGAACATAGCAAATAAAACATTATGCGTCGTGTCCCATACGCTTCGGGTATAGGATCGATTGCGAATGCTTTAATGTTTGACCATTCTAAAATTTTCCAAATGTATAGTGCATTTAGAGGGAAAAGGGACTAGAATTGGTTTTGACTAAAATAATTAAACAACTATCAAAGGACAATCCAAAGTTCGACGAGGATTGGTCGCTTGCGAGTAGTTGGAAGTATAGTATTGGAAATTATGGAAGTGTTTCCATATTGGATGGACGATATCGACATCATTACGAATAGATAAGATTCTATTAAGAATGAGTTGTCATATAGAAAATATGGAAGTGTGTCCATGTTGGGAAGTAAAATCTATGTCTAGATTAGAAACTTTATGCGAAAGGATGTTCAAAGGAATGTACTTTGAGTGAGAGACATCATATCTAAGGAATTGTCTTGTAACAATCTCCGATAGAGGAATTTGTAATATCATTGGCAATAGTCTTTGAGACTTTGGTGCAGTGACATTACAAAAGGATCGTTGCATAAAGTGTTAGAATCTAGTATATTCTATAAGTAACAAGAATTTGACATTCTTACACTTAAGAAAATGGATTTGGTGTTGTAAAATGAGAATGATTGGAAATGTGTTCAATTTGTCTATTTCGCAAAAGTAAGAACCATAGGTAAACATTGTGTGCATGCTAGGAGCATGGGACAAGTGTTGGAATTCAAATGCGAAGTTGATTACCCGAAACGACAAATAATGAGTAATCGATATGGTGATAAATAAAACGTGTTTTGTTTATACTCAAAGGTTTGAGGCCATATGGGATTAGTATTATTCTTGTGTTTCACCTTGCATGTTTTGACTTCCAGAATAATTGAGTTTATTAAGAATAATCGAATTATTCAAACGGGCCACAGTCGTTCATATGTTGGAAGTAGATATGAATGAAGACTGTCGTGAATTGGTGTGTGGATTGTCTAGAAGAGTATTAGACATAAGCAAATGTTTGCTGCAACGTTCATGAGTGCTTATGAATATGATTTGAGCATTGGATTAAACCCACGCTCACTTGGATCACTCCATGAATTGTATTACGAGTGATTGGTGAGACGATAACATCTTATATTCTTGAAACCGAGATGTGTGAGTTGTATCTTGCGAATCGGTTGCACATTGATAATATGTAAACGCACCAGTAACTTGGTGTTATAAAACATATTGTTGTGTGTAATTCGGTGAGTGAGTGCAAGCAAGCATTGTATCAAAGTTTATCCGTTCCTTTTATCCAAAGTAGGATAAAAGCGATATCTTTGGGCCCCTCGATGGTTTAGTGATGACATACGTAAATGCTCGGCCGGGCTAGGGCTAATTTGATTTGTTCAATTAGTCTGTCGTCATAAATCGGAAATCGAGAAGTAGTACAAAGAGAATGATTAGAAATCATATCTCATACGATATCTAGAATGGAGGAATATATGATCCCTTATCTAAGGACACGCGTATCTGATATGATCAGAGTTGACAGCGGCTTTGGAAAGCTACGATTGCAGATCAGGATCTGAAGTCATACGCAGAATAGTTGTTAGACTTATCCAAGTGGGAGACTGTTGGATTAGTGTCTAAGTCCATAACTATTTTGGTATGTACTTGACCCGATGGTGCATGGTCCTTTTGGGTTGCCTTCACCAAAGCAACTTGATTGGAGAAATGAATAAAGAGAGAGAGGATAATATGATTTATTAATATGTTATAAGAATAATATATTAAAGGAGAAATCATATTTGTTTAATTAATATTGGTCAATAATTAATTAAGAATTAGTTTTGTGATCAAATGTAATTAATTAAACTAGAGGGGCTGATTTGTAATTATGTGATAGTTACAAAATAAGGTAAGGATTATCTTATATATATGGTGAACGAATTTGAGGTGTAAATCCCTTAGAATTCGAGTATGATAAGGATTCAAGGATTATCTTATTGGTTGCTTAATGGATAATCAACTAGATAAGGATAATGACTGAAACCCTATCTCTACACCTATATAAACACCCCTAGGGCCATGAATTCGTGTATCCCTTCCCAAGAGGTCCTAGATACGAATTCTAACCTCTCACCTCTCTCCTTATACCTTCTCCACTTGCTTATGGTGTTTGTGAGCCATTAGAGGAGTGACACTTGTGACTCTAAGCCTTCCAAAGTCAATACAAGGAGATTTGGGATTGTTATTGCTACATAACAATCAAGGTAACACTATAAACTTATTCTCATGTTAATATGATTATATGTATGCTAGAATTAGGGTTTATAGTCTTGGATTCAAAGCATGTACAATAGAGAAACCTAGATCCAAGCATTAGGGTTTGTATGAGCACATAGGATGTCTTATGACCAAAACCCAATAATACATTCAAATCTCTATGAATTATGTAGGAATATGTATTCTAACATTCTTATAAAATATCATTCTAACAGAATTTAAATATGACAGAATAAAACCATATATGATTAAAAATTACATTAAAATTAGAATTTATCTAAATAAAAAAAATCATAATTCAAAAGTAAGAGAATCCTATATCCCTTATAATAAAAAAAAAAAATCTTATTAACTTGTGTTTCCTAATTTGAAAGTAATGCAAATATACAATATTTTTCTTATTTTTAATTAAATTGTATAATTTTATTTTGTTTAATTATATAATATAGGTAAATCAATTTCTTAAAATAACTAAAATCATTGGTCAACATTCATCTATACATCCAATCCAGACTATAACTTAACCCAACCATCAATAATTTCGTCTAAAGTTGATAGATTTTTAAATACATATCAATAAATACATATGCATATAATAACTTTAAACAAGTATATAAATACACACATATGTACTTACTTTTAGATAATGATGACACTTGAGAAATTGAACTTTGCCTTTGTAAGGTTCAAAGGAGTAGGAGATGAGAAAGAACTGGAAGATAAACTACAAGGAACCACGTTGAAGGAGAGACCTCTCACTATCAACCTATCCCAACATCCAAAGAAGTCATCAAATCTGCAATAGACCCGGCCAAAACGTAACATCGTCAGAATGGCCCCATCCCCATAACAGTCCAAAATTAGGGACGATAGATCTTTTGCATAGGTCGCCTCTGGAAGAGGAAACAGTATGCAGATGTCACCAATAACCATAAACTTGGCGACGGTCATGAATGAATGGTTAAAGAAGTCAGTGTTGATTGGTGAAGCCCATAACTTAGATCATATTGTAAACCTACCGACATCACTACTAATGAATGAAGGCACAAAGTATCTTGGAGGTCTCAACATAGCCCTTCATTTTGATAAGTCTGCAGAAGTTCTGGAGTTTCTAAATGTTAGTACTAGTTGGAGAGACGGGTTCAATCGATTAGTTAGAGCAGATCAACACGAAATCCCATATGAAAGAACCGCATGGCTTAAAATTTTAGGGCTTCCTCTGCGCCTATGGGACGATGAGAACTTTAACATCATCGTTGGACGTTTTGGTAGGATTGTATCTCCGTTCAATAAACTGTACACAAGACATGATTATTCAATGGGAAAGGTTGGCGTTCTCACGTCGGAACAGATAGATCAATACGCAAGTCATTGTCGTGGTGGATGGTAAGGCCTGCAAGATTGGCGTAGTGGAATCCTCAGATGATTGGTCTCCATTTCTTCCTGCCCCATTTGATAAGGCTGATGAGGACTCAGACGAAGATGAAAAGGATGATGTGGATGATTCAAGAGAAAACGATGAGGAAGAAGATGTTATATCGGATACATGGATGGGGGACCAGAATGACGATACAAAAAAAGGAGAAATAAGGTCGGAACTGTCACAGAGTAACAATCCGGCGAGGCATGAATCTGATGTCGGCGGGTGGACGGATAACCGGCTATTTTGGACCCTTCCCATGTTTGAACCCAAATACTGTTGGCTCATCTGCTAAAAAAAACGGATGTAGACGCCTTTAACGTCTTGGACCTTACATTCTCTCATGCGGCAGATTAAGTTGACGTCAACCCTCAGTCAGGAGCTACGATGATGCGTACAATGAACCCCCAAATCATACTAACAACATAGTGAACGATAACCCTTCCATTCCTAATAATGATCGAAGTGACCATGTCGATTGCTCGAAACCAAACGAGTATGCTTAGATTGCAGAAATTGGGGCGTTGGTCGGTTTTCAAATTGGAGCTGATAACAAATTGGTCGGTTTTCAAATTGGAGTTGATAACAACATACTCGCGTCTGTTGTTGGTGAAAAAGGTATACATAGTTGTTACCCATGAATTGTTTATCCCTTAATGTTCAAGGCGCTCCATAATATCAATTTCTTGGGTTTACAAGAAACACAACTTACAAATCACTCTAGAATATATGTTCATGGCTGCTGGGGAGATAAGACATAACTTGTAAAGCATTGGCATTATATAATTATCATCGGTAATTGGTCTGGTATTCCTAGACATACTATATTGGCCAAAATCTATGGACCTCAAGCAAGCTCTGAGAAACAAAAATTATGGGAAGAATTATTACAGATTAAAAAAACCTGGGCTAGGAATTGGTTGTCATTTGGGGACTTTAACGCAGTAAGACGGAAGGAGGAAAGATTCAACTCCCAATTTTGTTCGTACACTACTTCCAATTTTAACAGATACAGGCGTTATCGATTTCAACATGGGTGGTGAGCAATATACTTATATGAGTCGCGTCGATGCAAAATTAAGCAAAATTGATAGGTTCCTTGCTTGCTCTTCATTCCTATCATATTTCCCATCGCTTATTGCCATTGCTCGCCCCAGACACTTATCTGATCACTGCCCCATCAATTTGTCTTCAATATCCAATGATTTTGGTCCTCTATCGTTTAAGTTTTTCAATTCATGGCTCATAGTGGATGGAATTGATCAGATTGTAAGTAATGCCTGGATCAGTTTTAGTGGCCATGGTCGGGCGAACGTTTATCTAGCTACAAAACTTAAGCACGTGAAAGAAGAGATTAAGAAATGGTGTAGAAGTACACACAAAAAAGAAGCCCATGAACTCACACATTTAAAAGGAATGATTAAAGACCTAGAAATTGTGGTTGAATCGCGTACCCTGTCAGAAAATGAACTATCGATTCGTAGCAATGGTCTCAAAAGAATTTTGGAACTCAAACGTATGGCAACATTAGATATTAAACAGAAGGCCCGATTGAAATGGGTGGTGGATGGAGACGAAAACACAACCTTCTTTCATGGTCATGTTAGCAACAACAAAAGAAAGAACCAAATCATGGGTCTTACAATCAATGGAAGATGGTCAACGGATGTCAGTGACATTAAAAAAGAAACTTACAATTTCTTCCAGCTGAAGTTCATGGAGAGATGGACATCAAGACCTAAATTTATCAACACAAACTTCAAAACGATATCGATGATGGATGCCATCCATGTCGAAGCTCCATTCTCCGTATCAGAGGTTAAGGCGGTTATTTGGGCCTGCTGTAGAGACAAAGCACCTGGCCCCAACGGACTAACTTTTAAGTTCATAAAAACTTATTGGAACATGACGTGTGAGGATGTGATGAATGCCATGTGTCACTTTGAAGATCGAGGTTCGCTTGCCCAACGTTTCAACTCTTCATTCATAACTCTCGCTCCAAAAATAAAAGACCCTATTATGCTATCAGACTCTTGCCCTATTAATCTGATAGGATGTTTCTACAAGATAATAACAAAGGTCCTAGCAACAAGAATAAACAAGGTGATTGGAAGTGTCATTGGAGAAGAACAATCTGCGTATGTCGAAGGAAGGAATATTTTGGACGGTCCTCTAATCATCAACGAAATTTGTTCTTGGGCGAAAAGTATTAAGAAAAAAGTACTTTTATTCAAAGTTGACTTTGATAAAGCCTCCGACTCCATTAATTGGGAGTACTTAGATTTAGTTCTTGCCCAAATGGGTTTTGGGAATAAATGGAGATCATGGGTTTCAGGATGTTTGTCATTAGCTCGTGTTTTCGTATTGATAAATGGTGCCCCAACCAAAGAGTTCAAGATCACTAAAGGTGTTAGGCAAGGCAACCCTTTATCATCTTTTCTGTTTATTATTGCAATGGAGGGACTCAATGTGGCGTTAAAAACTGCAAGGGACAAAAACTTATTCAAAGCTGTGAAAATTCCTGGTAATGGCTCACCTATTTCCCACCTTTTTTAGGCGGACGACGCCCTATTCATTGGGGAATGGTGTCAATCCAACCTTAAAAACCTTGCAAGTATTCTCAAATGCTTTCATGTTTCATCTGGACTTAAAGTAAACATCAATAAGTCCAAAGTTTATGGAATTGGGGCTCCTACTTTGGAAATCACACAATGGGCTGGTCTACTGGGGTGTAAAGTTGGATCTTTTCCATTCATTTACCTAGGTGTGCCAGTTGGTGCAAACCTAAAACTCAAAAAGAACTGGTCCCCCATAATTCATAAATTTCGAGCAAAGCTTTCCAATTGGAAAGCAAAAACTCTCTCATTCGGAGGGCGTTTAACACTCATCAAAGCTGTGTTGGGGAATCTCCCAACTTATTATCTGTCACTTTTTAAAGCACCTACTGGGTTATTGAGACTCTAGAAAAGTTGAGAAGGAAATTCTTGTGGGGTGGGAATGACAAAAAGAAGAAGATACATTGGGTATCATGGGAAAAAGTGATAACATCTAAAGAGAATGGTGGATTAGGAGTTGGGTCTATTAAAGCACTTAATATAGCTCTTATGGTGAAATGGTGGTGGAGGTTAAGAAACGAATCTTCATCCCTATGGTCTAAGGTTATTTCAGGAATTCATAATTTATGTAATAAATCGATTGAGCACCTTTCAAGAAAACAAATTTCTGGTGTATGGAACAACATACCGGGTACTAAAAAGGACATTGAAGGGTTGGGTCTTAGTTATGATGATATATTTCAACAGGTGATCGAGTCAGGGGATAATATTCAATTTTGGCAGGATTTTTGGATTGGAACATGTAAATTAAATACTGCATTCCCTTCACTTTATGCTTTTGAAACTCAGAAAAGGTGTAAGGTGAGTACCAGGATACTTACTGATGGAATCAATTGGAGTTGGCGATCTTGTCCAATAAATGTGGGATTAACTACTGAGTTCGAGAATTTAACAAATACCATCACATCTATTCAGTTACAACCTAGTCTAGATGAGATCAAATGTAAACTAAGCACTGATGGAAGTTATAAGGTGCATATGCTAAGGCAAAAGATAGATCAAGTATTCCCTTTCACCAATCAGCAAGTAACAATCAAATGGAGCAAACAAATCCCCATAAAGGTAACATGCTTTGTATGGAGAGCTATGCAAGGACAGATTCCCTCAGTGTGTGACATCCCCAAAAATCTCGGCCAGAAAAGATCGATTTTTATTTATGCTTTTAAAATAATTTCAGAGTAAATGCTTTTGATTTGAAAGAGTTGCGGAATTTGTTCCCAAAAATAAAGTATGATAAAATAATATTTACCAAAGCATTTCATAAAGAAATGTATTTTCATTATATAATCAAAACTCGGGATGTCATGTTCCGATACAGACCATAAAGCATAAACGATAACATTACAAGTCATTCAACAAATATATACATATACAAACTTGTAAACAAAACAACTTGATGATTATCCATCTTATGCCCTCGCGCCACTTCCTGTAATACAAAGAAACTGAGTGGGTCAGGCTTGGGAGCCTGGTGAGCATATAGGGTTTTTCAACCTATAATAAATAATTAAATTAATTTCATCAACCAACAAAAACCCAATTACCCATTCCCGTTATCCTCACTTTACGTCCCTAAACACTTTTCTCAAGGGACTTAATCTAAGAATATTTCATCGGGCGACAACACATGCTTCGGGGGTTTCTCGGCAATATATGTCAAATAAGGCAACCGGGGGGGGGGGGTGGAGTACAACGAATGAACACCCAAGTTCATTAACACCTACAGGTGGCGAGCCTGCTAGTGTTCCACAGAACTGTTTAGAAAAGTCAGTGGTCGTCATCTAAACTCCGCTAGATGACTGAATCAAAAATAACGACATCGAGGCCTCTCTTCATTTTAACACACAACAACTATCTAACCATGCTTTACCCAAAACTTTTGTAGATAAAAAATACATATACGGTTTAAAATTTGTATAAAACATTTATTCAACACTTATTTCAAATAAACAAATAATTTATAAACACATAACACGTATTTCAAAGCAAATACTTCATGTTTATGTTTTAGAAGAAAGTAACCACACACTGACATGTATAAACAACAATATATATACACATAGCACGTATATTATAAAATACTTTATATTTATGTGTAAGATGAAAGTGACTATACACTCACTTGATCAGAAGATGATCGGACAATACAACTTGTAAAAGTAGTATTTTTCACTAGATTTGGAAGATCTTCACAAAAACTGGGCTCCTCGCGGGCAGGGCTTCGGCTCGGGAATAACGCTCCTCGGGATCCTCGGGACTTTGGAACTTAATTCGGGGCTCGGGAATGATACCGGGGCTTCGGGATATGATTGGCATGCAAATCGAGGCAAAAAATAAAGAGAAGAAAGAGTTTGAACAAGAGAAAATGGTTGCTCTCGGTTTCCATTTATAGGTTGATGGGTCTGGGATTACGCTGGGCGTACTTTGACATCACTGCATGCGTCATTTGGTGGCACTCGAGTATTGGTCAGGCAACTTGCACCGTTCTGAGTACGATGGGCGTACTCAAATTACGTTCGGCGTAATTTGACTCGTCAAACTTCTAAATTGCGTAACTTTCGCATACGAGATCCGTTTTTGACGTTCTTTATATCCACACGTAGGTGAGACTATGCTCTACAACTTTCGTTTAGACTCCGTCTGCTAATTTTGACTTTTATTTTTATTATTTATTTTTAGATAGGCCCGGATAGAAAAACTTCGTTATAAATTCATAACTTCTTCGTCCGACGTCCGTTCTCGCCTAACTTTTCATCGTTTCGCTACTAACAACGAGATCTTTGATTCTCGTTTAGATTGTTTCGGCTAAAAATCGCTCGATCTCAAATCGAGTAGTCGGGCTGCATACTGTCAAGTTGAAACTTCAGAAAATCATAACTTCCTCATACGGAGTCAGATTTTGGCGCTCTAAATATATTCAGAAACCTCGATTCGGCCACTGCAACCTTATGCAAAGATATCGAGTTTATTTTACACTTAAATTTTAACGCTCATTTTGTTCTTAATTCATTAAATTATAATAATTAAGAAAATAAACACATAATTCACATAATACTCAAATATTTCATCATTAATACCTCAAAAAGAGTTACAAGGGTTAGCCTAGACTATTACATCAACGAAAATGTCTAGCCTGGAAACGCGGACGTTACACAACGATGACACTATCTCATAGAGGTATTAAACTTGATTTGACCCTTTGTGGGGTCATGCATTGGAGGGCCTGAATATGCCAATCACATAATTATTTGTTGCCCTTTTGCTGTAATTGTGCGTGAGCTGATCTTCAGGTGGTGTGGGATTATTTTGTTTGAAGTAAACGAAGTGGCAGATATTGTGGACTATGCGGCTAAATGGGGAAATAATCCTAAAAAACGAAAGCAATTCATTGCTATCAATTACGGTATGATCTGGATGCTTTGGAAAAATAGAAACGAACGGCTGTTTCAAGCAAGATTTTCTAACCCGCGCAAAGTAGTTGAGAACCAAATTTTTATAAAAAAACAAAAACAAAGAAAGAAGGGGTCAAGTCAAATAGTCTTCTTCACATAGGTCCATGGTGTTCATTTGGATAAAAAACAGGGGCAAAGGCGAGTTTTGCAATTGGGAGGATTGAATTAAATCATCACTCAATTGATGTAATTGTATTTCATTTACTGTTTTTCTCTGTTTTTTTTTCTTTTTTCTTGTACTATGTTTTGGGGCCTCTATTAGCTACTTGCTTTTGAGGTGTTCCCTTTATAATATCACAACCGTTTCTTAAAAAAAACGAGAATTTGTTATAAAACACTTTTTATATCAAAAAATGAGTGCCTTTATTTATTGAAAACTTGGGTTTTAAGAAAATCTTTTACCTTTTTAATATCGTTAACGATATTCCTAGTAAGAATTATTTCACCTAGATAAACTTACAAGGCTCAATAAACATATTATATTTTAAACTATAAGCATTAAGGACATGTTCGATATGTAGCGTTTGAGAGTTTCTAGTTTCTAGCATTTGACAAAACATTCCATTTTGAACAAAAAACATTGTTTGACAATACAAGCTTGTAGCGTTTGGTTTAAACAAAACGCTCCAAATCAAAATGTTACTTCAGATAGTGTTTAACAAAATGCTACAAACTACAAACTACCCGCTAATCGCTACAAGCTAGTTTTGCCGAACACACCCTAAGTAAATCGTTTTCTAGTTACTTAACCCCAAACTATATCAAGAAATAGGAGAATTTCAGTTCCATTTCCTTGGAGCCTACTTCAACCCATTAATAGATTTTAAAACTTTATAATATAACATCTTCATCAAGAACACTGCAAAGCAATAATATTATTTATGTAAAGATGAAACAACTTCCAGTTTTAATTTAGATAAAGACAAGCAACACTTGTGATTAACATATTTAGCAACATGTGAACAGGTTTCATCAAAATCGATCCTCTCATTTTGATTGTAAGTTTTTCTCAAAGTTGCCCATCTTTGTGAATTTATGTTTGCACAATGTATTGAAAGATTCATTCCTATGTAATCTTAACATTGGTATTGGTTCAGTATCTCAAACTTAGCTTAATTGAGTGTAGGTCATTACCTAAAGGACTAAATCTGAGTAGTCGAATAGTTGGAGGGCTATTGTGTATAAGCTAAATGGTTGGGATGTTTGCGATCGACCTTGAAAATTCACATTTGTTCCGACAATGAAAAAACTTTATAAACTCTCACTTCAACTCCTATCACCTTTTTGAGTTTTGTTGTGGGGTTGATTGTAACCATAGGCCATAGGGTCAAACCTATTGGGATATATGTAAAAAACCCAACCCCAAGCTTTCTTTTCTCCAAGAATCAAACCCTAATCTCTTATTATACATTAATTTTTGTTTTTAGTTTATAAAAAAGACACAAACCCATTAGTATTCAAAAACATCCAATATCAAAAACATTGTGAACTAACTAGAACTCAAGAGATGTTCATTAGCCAACTTCATAAGAACAACAAACGGTTCGATAGTTGCAAGCTTCGCGTTGTCCTTAGCCTCTTCTTTAACCTCATACTCAATCGTAATTTTCACAAAACACGAAGAACCCATCTCATCATTCGGATTATCCTTCACCTCAATCCGAACTCTATAAAGTGTGAATCCAAAATCCAAATGCCCTCCTTCAATAATCTCTGCTTCTCTCACCTTCTTCTCATTATCAATCATCGTGTACTTTTCTTTATAATATGAAACCCCTGACCCTATATATATACCAGATAAAACGTTCTGTTATGCAATTTATCATATTTTATCAATAAAAATTGTTCAAAGTACCTGGCTTAAATGTGACCTTGATGATAGTACCAACGCCACCATCACCTTCAACGACCTCAAGGTTATCCAAGATTTTCTTGGCGATGTCGCCGAGTTTGATTGAGCCGTAAAGATCCCATGCTTTGTCTGCGGGTACCTTCACTTCTACTTCTTCTGATAATGTCCCGAACATTGTGTTTGAATTACGAGATTCTAATGTTCATTTGTTGTGTATAATCTTATATGTAGAAGTAAGAAGGCATTGAGGTAGATATATAGAAGATAGGACATGTGTGGTGTAGCTAAAACATGCGGCGGATAGTTTCTGTTGTTTTATTTTTTTATTTGTCAACCACATATTTGCAAGGTTGTACTATCACAATCCTACTAATTATTTATTTATTTATTTATTTTAAATTTTACTTAAATTCCGATACAGTCACAATCATTTTATTTCTCATTTATATATTACATATTGTTTGATATATATACTTATACATTCGAATAAAATTAAATTGATTTATTTTTTAAAAAAGTTATATATACACTTAGAAATACTTTGATTCTTTGAAAGAACATTATTCATAAATGCATACAACAAATCCATCATCATCATATTAAAAGTTAAGATTTAAAAAACGAATTAATAACATTCCAAATTTAAAGAAATCTTTAAAATTCTGCAACTGAAAAACCATAGGAACAACACCAGCAAATAATAAAGTTTATAGACGAAGGGTAGTAGTTTTAGAAAGACAAAATTACAAAAATGTCTCTGTGGTTTATCAAAAATCATAAAGTTAGTCTCTGCTAATTTTTTTTTATGTAAATGATCCTTGTGGTTTGCAAAACTTGCAAAGTTTGCCCTTTTTACTAATACCGTTAGTATATAACCATTAGGGACTAAATCTGTAAGAGCATTTTTGTCTTTTTAAGTATAAAGGAATTAAATTCGTAACATTTAATAAACCACAAGGATCATTTTTGAAATTTGTTTGGAAAAAAAAATTAATTGACTGAAGGTGAAGGAAGGGGGGAAAGCTCAAACTTGAGATCTTCACCCCCTAAAATAACAAAAGGCTCACTTGGTTATAACTTTCTAAAACTAATTTATATAATAACAAAATCGTTAATACATAAATAATAAATAAATTATTAAAAACATTTTTATTACATTTTTTTTAAATAAAACAAAATTTATTTTAGTCGTATTATAAAAAAGATAGTTTTTTACAAAAAAATTGTATATATTTTTTATGTATTTATTTAACATAAAATATATTTTTTATATCTTTAAAAAATACGTTTCGTATAAAAAATATGTTTTTGTAAAATATTTTTTTTGTCCTTGAAATAATAATAATTAACACTACTCACGACATAAAAAAATATATAAATTCTTTTGGGTCGCTAGTTCTAAAATACGTATTTCATCTTATTTAAAATACATATTTCATCTTATTTAGAATACATATTTCATCTTTTTTAAATACATATAAACGAAAAACAGTTTTCAAAAAACTAACTGGACCAATCGGTTTTCTGAAACCGTTTTTCGGTTATATGTATTTAAAAAAACTTATTCGGTTATATATCTTATTTAAAATACGTATTTCATCTTAATCGTAAGTTCTAAATCGTATGGTTAAAATGAAGTTGATAATAAATAGTTATATAGCTTTTTGAATTAACGATAATTAATAATATACTTGACATTAAAAAAATACCGTATAAATTATTTAAATACATAACAAAATCGTTGTTAAGTTGTTTTTAATACATATAACCGAAAAAACGGTTTTAGAACTAGCGACCCAAAATAATTTATATATTTTTTTATCTCATGATTAGTGTTAATTATTATTATTTCAAAGACATAAAAAAAATATTTTACAAAAACATGTTTTTTATATGAAAACGTATTTTTTAAAGATATAAAAAATATATATATTTTATGTTAAATAAATATATAAAAATACATATAAATTGATTGTAACAAACTATATTTTTATAATATGACTAAAATATTTTTTTTATTTAAAAAATTACGTAAAAAAATGTTTTTAGTAATTTATTTATTATTTATGTATTAAGGTTTTCATTATTATATAATTTGTTTTTAGGAAGTTATAACTAAGTGAGCTTCTAGCTCTAATGGTTAAGTCTCATTGTCATTTTAGGTGGGTGAAGGTCTCAAGTTTGAGCCTTCTCCCTTTCAATTAATTTTTTTTCCAAACAAATATAAAAAATGGTCCCTGTGGTTTATCAAATGTTACGAATTTAATCGCTTTATATTTAAAAAGATGAAAATGCTTTTACAGATTCAGTTCCTAATGGTTATATAGTATTAATTTTTTTTTCCAATTAAACATCAAAAATGGCCCCTGTGGTTTATCAAATGTCACGAATTTAGTCCATTTATACTTAAAAAGATGAAAATGCTCTTACAGATTCAGTCCCTAATGGTTATATAGTAACGGTGTTAGTAAAAATGGTCAACTTTGCAAGTTTTGCAAACCACAAAGACCATTTGCATCAAAAAAAAAAAAAAAAATAGCAGGAACTAACTTTGTGATTTTTGGTAAATCATAATGATCATTTTTGTAATTTTGTCTTTTAGAAAATATTTACCAAGTTAAGGTAGTCTGTATTTTATTTACCAAATTATGATAAACATATAATTAACTTATAAGTTAAAAAAATAATAATAATAAAAAAAAAAAAAATAAGAAAAAAAAAAACCCACCAATCTCTCTCGTTACCGTGAGTTTGTAATTTAAAATTAGAGATGTTCTTTCCGCTGGAAATCAATGAATCAATAGGTCATCTATTGTTTTAATCGGCTTTTGATCCAGATATCAAAGACTGTGTATGTTCATTTCTTTCTTGAAAGTATGATTAAAAAATGTTACAACAGAGGGTAGAAAATGACTTTGGGCAGAATTCCGATAGCTGCTATGTTATAAAAAAAAAAAAAAAAAAAAAAAAAAAAAAAAAAAAAAAACATGTAAAATCATAGAAAAAATCTAGCAAACATTCTAATGCCATTTGAAAGTTGTAGAAATCGTTTTTTCTTGTTTACAAATCAGAAATTACCAAAGGACTTGTTGTCTTCTCTTCTTGAGGTTGAGGGTTCAAATCCTGAAGTGACGTGTGAAATAATTTACGCGTGATTTTATGTGTAAAACATTTAAAAAATGTTAGAACAAAGGGAAGTTATTAGAAAATTCTTAATATTTCCGGAAAAGTTTCACTTTAGTCCAAAAAAAATATTTGATTTTACATGATAATATGTCATTTCCCATTAAAAGAAAAAAAAAATGACTTTTTTTTGTTAATTTTAACCAAAATGAAAAAATCAGGACTTTGATGTTTAAAATAATTTTTTTGGACTAAAGTGAAACTTTTTCGAAAATACTATGATTTTTCTGATAATTTTCCTAGAACAGAAGGCTAGAAAATGACTTTGGGCATAAATACTATGAGAGTAAAAACAAAGGTTCTAAAAAGTTCGTCATAGCTCCGTCATGACGCGCCACGACTCCAAGGCTTGCACCTACCGTCAAGTTTTACCAAAACGCCGTCTTAACTCATATATGTGTATAAAAATGAATAATAGTTGAAAATACATATAAAAATATTAATTATATAGAAAATTGTCGCCTTAAGTCACGCCTTACAAATGACGTGACTCGTCAAGGCTCGGAAAAGCTTGAGGCTTGACATTGCCGCCAAGTCATGCCTTACGTTATTTAGAACCTTGGTAAAAAATAAAAAGTGTTAGAACAGAGAGCTAGAAAATAACTTTGGATAGAAATCCAGTTTTGAAACCGATAACCGACACCAAAACCAGTTTAGGCTTTGATGATAACTGGTTGAAGGGTAAAATGGTTTAGACCCGAGAACCAGTTTTGGATAGAAATTCAGTTTTACTTTTCCCTTCAACGGGTTGCGTGAGTCAAGTTTAGGCTTTGCTCATACAAAAGGAATTTGTTTTTTACAATTTTTAGACCCAAATATCAGCTAATTTTTGCAAATTTGGCCCAATAAGTTTTTTCTTGCAATTTTGGTCCTTATTCATTTTTTGGTCCTTATAAAAGGAATTTGTTATTTACAATTTTTATCTCAAATATAGTCATTTTAATTAGAACGACAAAAAAAGTTGAAGAAACCTCATAGAAGGACCAAAATTGCAAGAATAAAGTTTTTAGAACCAAAGTTGAAAAAATAAAAAAAAAAAAATAAAAAAAAACAAACAACAACAACAACTATATATTAATCAGGAACCAAAAATGTAATTTACCCCAAGAACACTAAAACCCATTACCCATCAAACACATAGTTTGAAGCATTCCTCCAAAACCGAATTCCATCCATTTGGGAAAAAACCAAACACGCCACGGAATCGGAATCAGAATTGGAATGGAATCTTGAATTCCAGAAACCAAAGACATAGGATCTAGAAACTAGATTGATTGCCTTAACATGAGTGCTTGGAAATGTCGATATTCTTAAAGTTTCTTGAGTCTCATCCATCATTTTACGTCTAGGAATGTTTAGTATAAAAGCATTTTGATTAGCTGTAGCAATCATAGATGTAATCTTGTACCTACTCTCTCATCTCCAGTGTATTCCTTCACTCGGGTACATACATAAAATCATTCACACGTTTTATTCACAAGAGTATAACAAATGTATTGTAATTAAAATTTGATACACTTTTATTCATTTATGAATACCAAGAGCTAAAACTATAAATAAATAAATAAAAAATCTATTTTATTTTAAAATTATATTAATATGGATGTCTATTTATAGAGAATAAAAAAATTATTAATTTTCATATATTTAAAATCGTTTTTTAATAAAAATAGCTTCTTAAAAAATAAAAACAAAAAAACTATGTTTTTGTATATATTAAGGTAATCATTAGCATAGTTTAATAAAAAATGTTTTGTTTGAAACCAATTTCCACCGATACGACAAAATGTTTTGTGGCAAAATAAACGTGTGACTGAAATTGATTATCCCAATCTCAACCTTTTTTTTATGAATTGAACTCTCTTCCTATAAACATTAAATAAACCGTCTAGTTTCAATTCCATTTCCTTAGAGCCCATTAATAGATTTATTCCTATGTAATCTCAAACTTAGCTTAATTGAGTGTAGGTCAATAGTTGAAGGACTAAAGTGAGTAGTTGAATAGTTGGAGGGCTATTGTCGATAAGTTGAATGGTTGGGATGTTTGTGATCGATCTTGAAAATTCGCATTTGTTCCGACAATGAAAAAACTTTATGAACTCTGACTTGAACTACTCTC